CAACAACTTCCAACTCTTGGGTTTAAGTGATTCTCTTGCCTCAGCCTCCCAAGTAGCTGGGACTACAGGTGCCTGCCACAACACTTGGCTATTTTTTGTTGCAGTTGTCATTGTTGTTTAACTGACCCAGGCTGGGTTCAAACCCCCACCCTCAGTGTATGTGGCTGGCGCAGTAACCACTGTACTACGGGTGCTGAGCCTAGGTGCAGTTTTAGAAAGAGTGCCTTTTTGCATTCACACCAGAGAGCTATATCTATCTCTATAAGTGAGGAAGTTGCATGGGAGTATTAATGGATTATTTGCAAGCCCCTGAAATTTTTTAGTTGAAATTACAAGGGGAAAAAATAAGTCTCTATTCTGTTTTGCTGCAGGGCCAATGCAAGAAACCATCTATGACTTCTGGAGGATGGTGTGGCATGAAAACACTGCAAGCATCATCATGGTGACCAACCTTGTGGAGGTGGGAAGGGTAAGTGGGCCGTCCACTGCAAATGGCCATTTCATTCCTTGCTTAGCTAGGAATAAATAGTAAGGCCTGCACAGACCTGAAGTTTTGTGTGTGCTCCAGAAAACATTAACCACTGCAGCTCCTCTTAGCACTTGCTGTGCTTGCTTATAAATTATCAGTAAACATAGCCTGAATTGCTTTCATTTGTTGCGATAGCAACAGACAGGAAAGGCACTCAAGATTTAAAAGCAGCTGTTATCAGGCTATATTGAGCACACAAAAATACCTCTAACAGGAATGCTGATTGCTGGGTGTCAAAATTCGATGGGTGCTGCACTGGGCATGACTGCATTCCATAACTCAGAAAAACTGGCTCTAAAAACAGTGTGCAGCACTGGATTCAAGCCTTAGGTTAGAATTACAGCATCTTCTCTTGCTGAAATTTGCCTTTCCTGATCTATAAAATGGAAATCATAATCTAATTCAGAGGTCTTGTGTTACTTTCTCTGTAGTAATTGTTTATGAGCACTGTTTTTGGTTTTAAGGATACTATAGTATCTATTTCTCTGGAAAACAATAACAAAAACTCAATATTAAAGAAAATTAAGAACATAAGACTATCATAATTTTATGTGGCACAACTGGAAACATATTTAATGCCAGTTTGACTAATTGCAGTCAGTTTTCAACTGATACAATAGCAATTTCGGGTGGTACAATTCACAAGTTCATCAACAAATACTAAGAATTTATGTTAAGATCTATTTTGTATCTGTACAAATAGGTATTTGGGAAAGACTGACTTGAAAATACGAAATTCTTTTAATTTCAAAGACCCTAATGGAAGCACAATTTGGTGTTATACCCTAAGATACATTTTTTATTATTATTAAATCATAGCTGTGTACATTAATGCAATCATGGGGTACAATGTGCTGGTTATATATACATTTTGAAATGTTTTCATCAAACTGGTTAACATAGCCTTCATGGCATTTTCTTAGTTACTGTGTTTAGACATTTATATTCTACACCTGGTAAATTTCACATATACCCTTATGAGATGCGCCGTAGGTGTGGTCCCACCACTTACCCTCCCTCCCTCCATCCTCCCCTCTCCCCTCCCTCTCCCCTTTCCCCTTCTTCTTGGGCTATAATTGGGTTTCACAGTAAGGCTGAGTACATTGGATACTTTTTCTTCTATTCTTGAGATACTTTGCTAAGAAGAATATGTTCCAGCTCATATTTTTAAAATCTATTAAAACGTATCCTTTCACTGTGTTATTTATTGAATGATTGAGTGATTGATCAGCTGTCTGGAAAGTGTCCAGCCATGTATGTCTCGAATTTTCATAGTGCATGGCTGGATACTTTCTGGACAGCTCCCTGTGTGTATGTGTGAGGGGATGGGTATTATTATTATGTTGTAGGATTATTTTTATTTAACTAGGAAACTTGTATGTAGTTTGTAATCTCAGCAATAGTATCCTGTAGTATTATTTCCAAAGTGAAATTTAAAAATAAGCAAACGCACAAGATACAATTGCTTTATTTATAATAGGTTCAATTCCATGCTTATGCTCAACTCAAGAGAAGTAGGCATCATGGGATTTACCCTCAGCAAAGGCAGCCTAGAGGTTAGGCTAGAATTGAAATATTGGAGCATAAACCATAAAGGATTGTATCTTAGGATTCCCAGGTTTTAGGAGGCGCAAACCAGGAGGAAGAGAGACATTACAGTTCTCTTATCATGAGAACATAAAGTGGGAGATACATACCATTCTAGCAAAGATGGTAGATTATTCTGAAAACCTTTGTACAAACATGTAGGAATTCTAGATAAAAATATAAATTCATATGTTAATGTGTGTGTATGTGTATATGTGTGTGTGTGTATATATCTCACATATATGTGTACATATGGAATAGCACTTCTGCTGATTCACAGACCAAAGTGACATCCCTAAAAATATCTAAAAATACTTACAACTGTGACTCATAAGGCATCATCTAGTATTAAACTTGTCAAATGCAAATAAAATGGGACCTAAAAGAAAAATATGTTCTTAAATATTGTTGTTAAAAAAGAAGAAAGACCAACTAAGCACCTAATTCAAGAAGAAAGATAAAGAATGGAATAGACCAAAGAAGGAAAAAGGAACTGAAGAACACAAGTAGAATTGATTACATAAAAAGCACAGAAATATGGCTTGGCGCCTATAGCTCAACCGGCTAAGGCGCCAGCCATGTACACCTAAGGTGGCGGGTTCGAATCCCCAGCCCGGACCCACCAAACAACAATGACAGCTGCAGCCAAAAAATAGCCGGGCGTTGTGGCGGGCGCCTGTGGTCCCAGCTACTTGGGAGGCGGAGGCAGGAGACTCGCTTGAGCCCAGGAGTTGGAGGTTACTGTGAGCTGTAATGCCACGGCACTCTACCCAGGGGGACAGCTTGAGGCTCTGTCTCAAAAAAAAAAAAAAAAAGCACAGAAATAATAAAAAGGTCAACAAGAAAAAGCTGCTTTGTGAAAAGATTAATGAAATAGACAAGCCTCTAAAAATAGATCATAAGTAAAGGAAGAAAACCACACATAAACAATAATATGAACAACAATAAATTTGATAAAGTGGGTTATTTTCTGGAAAAATAAGATTTTCCAAAACTGACTCAAAAAGAAACAAATTCTGACTAGACAGTAATAATTATTTGAAAATCAGCCTGGTGCTGAGGCTCATGCCTATAATCCTAGCTCTTATTATTGGGAGGCCAAGTCAGGAGGATCACTTGATGCCAATAGTTTGAGAGCAGCCTGAGCAAGAGCATCTCTACAGAATTTCTCATCTCTACAGAAAGTAGAAAATGTAGCCAGGCATGGTGGTACATGCCTGTAGTCTCAGCTACTCAGGAGACTAAGGCAGGGAGATCACTTAATCTGAAGGGTTTGAGGTTGCAGTGAGCTAGGATGCCACCACTGCACTCTACCGAGGAAGACAAAGTGAGATCCTATCTAAAAAAAAGAAAAAAATGAATTATGGCTAAAACTTGACCCATGAAAATGCATCAGACACTAATGTATTTACAGATACAAAATAATAAATGGATAATTCAAATATAAGTTTTATAAATATATGTAATTTATAAACTATCAATATATAAAATAAAACTATATGAATAAATTTTATAAATACAGTGGGTGCCAAAAAATGTATACACATTTTAGCAAAGGAAAAAACTATTAAACTTGTAGTACTCAAGTCACGTTTGGTATCTGCAGTTAGAAGAGATGGGTGTGTGACTTTTCTTCTTGTGTTATCAGTATTTATTATTACAATTTTAATATAGTCTTTTCCTGTCTTGAAATGTGTATACGGTGTTTGGCACTGTGTATTACAAAAATTAAGAGAATATGAAAGACTGCTTCACCATTTCATTTTAGCTGGCATAACTTTGATAACAAAACCAGGCAAGGACTATAGGTAAAGGGAAAAGGACAGTTCCTATAAATTGGTAGGAAAAGAGGAATAGACCAAACAAATCAAAGAGGCCATATGCTGACTTTAGGCATAAATGAATGGAAAGACAAAATATTGGAGGGGAATGTGTGAACTTTCCAATGAAGTAAACTGAGAAATTTGTTTATCCATGGGGACCCAAGAGAGTCCCTTTTCCATAAAACATCCAACAATGAATATCAGAAAAACACCCAAATGTAACAAATAAAGCTTTAAAATTTTTAGAAGAAAATTTGAGATAAAGTATCTAAGACATTTGTGTTGTTAAGAATATTCCAAATACACATTAAGAAAAGTATCAGGAAATTTGACAATATTAAAATGTTACGATTTTCTGTATGACAAAGGATGTAATAAGTGACAGGACAGGTGGAGGGGTAGGAATACTGTGGAACCATCAGGAAAAGCGTAAAGACTTATAGAACAGTATTTTATGTGCTAAAGTGAGAAAAACCATTTTTACTCCAATGTGGGATGGCAGGTGAGCTGGTTCAGAGCAGATATTCTCTCCCCTCCCCCCCCCATAGGAGAGGTTGCTGAACCTTTCCTGTCACCAGCCTTTCTTGGAAAGTGGTGACATAATCTACCCACCAGCTCAGGCTGCTATAATGAAACATCATAGACAGGGGGCTTAAACAATAGACATTTATTTGCTTACAGTTTTGGAGCCTGTAATCAGTACCTGGGGAGGGATCTCTTCCTGGCCATCTCACTGTGACCACAGGTGGGAGAGAGAGAACAAGCACTCATGTCTCCTCTCAAAAGGACACTAATCCTATGGGATCAGGGCCCCACTCTTAGGACCTTATTTACTTTCTCAGCGGCCCCATCTCCAAGTATAGGCACACTTGGGCATTAGGACTCCAAACTATGAATTTGGGAGGTGTTCAAATGTTCAGTCCATAGCAACCTACTTCATGGGGTTCTTGTAAAAATTGAATAACTTTATACCTGCCCAGTGGTTGGAAAAGTTCCTGCCCATTCTTGAGCACTCAATAAATATAGGCATAATTAATATTTCCACCAACACACATAAGACCTGCAGTGTTGTATATAATTACCCCCTTCCCCCTACACCAAATCTACCTACTTTTGCTATAAAAGCAACAATGGCTCTTGAAAAAAATTGTCATCTCCACTGCAAAGCAAGCTCCTTCGAAGGAAGAGAGAGCCTCACTCCTTGGCCCTCCCCTCCCAGCATAGCACCTGGCCCTTGGCAAATGCTGAGCCAAGTGAATGTGGCAGAATGCTCCCACACAGTGTCACAGAGCTGTTAGCATGTGCTAGGTCAGCTGTCATGTAGCCAACCTCAGTATTTTATCTGTTTTCAGGTACTTGTGTTTCTTCCCCTGAAATGCATCCCCAAATCCGAATCCTTCATTCATTTCACAAATATTTGTTGACTGCCATGTTTGGGGAGAAGGAGAGGGTTTCTGTGGTGCGTCACAGCAACTTTGCAGTAACTTCACAATAGCTGCATTCACAGAAATTCATTCGCTCCTTCAGATT